TTTTTTTTTTTTTTTTTAAATCAGATGACATTTCTTTTTGGACAAAGAGGTAACCTTTAAAGCTGTTTGTAAGCTAAACAGTTAGAGGGATTGTTTGACCTTAGAGCTGAATGGAATCAATGCTATGAAGTTTATTCGTTATGAGTTTGGTCCTCAGTTCCTATTTGTCCTCAAGTCTTGTTTAACATCATTAAACAAGATGTTGCTTCTCACAACAACTGTGTGCATGAGAGTGAGGGGTCTGTCAAAGGAGGAACTTAGCTGAATGGAGAAGGCATCTCAAATATAAAATGTTAACGGCAGAACTGGTTAAAATATTAGAAACAGACTCACTCGCATCCTGGAAGTCCACATCATTGCCATCCAGTGCGTTTTTCAGTCTGTTGCTCGTGATTTTGAGCTGCATGATCTGCTGCCGGATCGTCATGTCTGGCTTTGTGATGTCGAGCTCCACTTCAGGGTTGTTGATCTGACTGGCCAAGCCATCACCCATCACCTCTGGGAGGTACCTGATTGAAGAGGAGGGGGGGACAGGACCATAAGTGAAGTTCTAGTTTTAAAAAACCTTTAGTAAGTAAGTTCCGGTTAATGAAGCAGTTCCTTTTTTTTTTTTAAGCTGGGCTCTTTAGGAACGTTTACTTAAAAATACATTCATGCACTCAGTCAGTAAATCTACACAGTTGTGCTGCTTTTGTAAATTAGATGTGGCATTTTGTGTTGACAGCACCTGGTCAGCAGAGTGACAGATTTATACAACACACACACACACACACACACCTGTGTGATCATTGTGGAGGCTGCACTTTGCGGTGCTGTTGAATTGCATTGTGTTACACTGACAGGCGTTTATATTATTTTGTCCACACCATTTACATCCATAAGGCCGGGCTAAATAACAGACCCCGCTCTTTATGATGCAGAACAGTCTGACAGTAGCACAAACTACAGCCTCCAAACTGAGCACACGGTTCAGTCAACCTCTATGAAGCACTTTCAATAGTTTCAGTATTAGATCGCATTAGTTTTAGCTACTATACATGTTCCTAATAAACTGGCAAATGAGTATATATCGAAGTCCTATCATACATGGCAATATTTCTAAAATCAATTTGATAAAACTGTTTATACCACAATAAATTATACACATGCAAAATTACACAAAGTAATCCAAATAATGTTTATCATGACAAACAGTCTTTCACCATTTTGTAATAAATCTGACAAAACAAAAACCTGATGTGATCATATCCACTGTGATATAATTCCACTAAAAATAATTTTTTTTTATTGCCCAGACCTATATTTGCATTAATTTTAAACTAAATCTAATTGTAAATTTAGCCCAAAAAACCAGGTGTTAATTCCTAAATCAGCCCTTTGAATAAACTGTGACAGGCCAAAATGTCAACACTTCACAAGTTATTGCAGTTGTTAATTTAGCTAGTGACATTTGTTTAGGCTCTCACACAATGTCACAGCAGAGTTGCCACCAGTTCATCACAGTTATGGCACAAAGGACACAAATCACCTTCAGCGGGAACAGAACTGACCTGCATCATAGCAGCTTTATTAGAAGTGAGTGGTATCATTTGTACTTTCTATTCAGAAGCATTTTTGAGTGTTAAACACCACAGGGTTCTGTCTTATAACCATGGCGCTCTACTGAAAGCCTGTGGAAACTGAAGGCCTCAGCCCCAGCCTTCACCGTGTAAGGGCCTAAACCACCACCACCAGTGGAAGTAGCTAGGTCCTTTTGTTTTCTTTGTTCACAGGTGTAGATTAAAGTTGTAGGTAGACTGTAGGCAGTTGATTTGACATTAAGTTAAGACATACACAGTTAATCAATGAAGCATGCACATTTGGTGGGGCATTTGGGAGGAATATATTGTTTATTTGTAGTTTATGTTAAAACTTTATTTGTCAAGTTATGTTCATTTTTTACATCTAAATAGGAATATTTAGCTGTTAGCAGACTGTCTGTTCAGTGTTTGTTGGTAGATTATTTAGTTAGTGTCTTTGTCCATTCCCTGTGTGTTACTGGTTTGGCCAGCCAGTATATATGGTCCCTGTGTGTTACTGTTTTATTTATTTATTTATTTATTTTTTTTTATTCCTTCGGATCTATTATCGTTCCACACTCCAGCTCAGGAGGTGGTGATAATGCACCTTAGGTTAGCTTGCAAACCACCAATACACCATAAGAAGAAGAAGCCCTTTTTTGGCTCTGATGCAAGGTGCTTTCACACTGTTTACCTGGTTTCTTTCTCACCTGCCCTTGGTGATGCCATTCCAGCATTTATCCTGAATTGTGCCTCCTGCTGACATTTTACTGCAAAGTGCAATAGGGAGCTGGATCCAATACTGCCGCATGTCCCTCAGCTTACTGGAGAAATCTGATACCTGAGGAGAGGTGAGACACATTTTTTGTAAGTCTTGTCCCAGTTCCTATAAGTTGAGTTTAGAATACTAAACAAGTCATAATGTGGTTTTAATCACATTTCAGATCCTTTCAAGAGGAGAAAAGATGAGTAGATATGATTAGATGGTGTCTTGTAATCCTGTGAGGGATGGGCCATGAATTGGCATAACACTTTAATAATTTATTAATCAATTGATTCATATACAAACACAGAGTAAGCATATGCACATGTACACACATGCATCTCCAGTCTGAGTCCAGCGGTCGGATACGGTTTGTACAATGAAGCGGTCAGGGAGCTGCTCTTCCTCCTCTGCTCAGAAGGGGTGGGACTTCCTGTCCCTGGTTCCCCTGGAGATCCACATGTCTGGTACACCTACAAACACAAATGCCAAGATGCACAGATGCCTTTTTAAGATATGTATACTGGACACTGTGTTGCTTAGAAGTTTAACATTTCAAATAACCTTCCAAAATAAAACACAGCTGTAGAATTTACCAGTCTGTATTATTGTGAGTGCTAAAAATATCCACTAGATGTCACCATAGACAAGTGTTCCAAACTGTGAAGGTGTTTGGATTTGTAGCTGCCTTGTTTTAGTTGCCTAACCACATTTGCTGACTTTATTTTATCCCTCAAGTAGTGTGTTTAAGGGTGGCATGGCCTCACAGCAAGAAGGTTCTGGGTTCAAGCCCCCAGTCGACCTTTCTGTGTGGAGTTTGCATGTTCTCCCTGTGTAAGTTCTCTCCCACAGTCTAAAGACATGCAGCTTAGGTTGATAGGTGACTGAAACTTGTCCCTAGGAGTAAGTGTGTGTGTGTGGTTGTTTGTCTCTAAGTGTCAGTGGATAGATAGTGTATTTAAGGGTAAACCATTCATATTATTTACAGCGACATTGTGATTGGAGCATTTTCTGTCTCATTACACTTGACATGTAAATAGGCAAAGATTAAAAAGAAAAAGTCTAAGAACAGAAAACAAGGCCAAGTCAGTTTATTGGTTGTATAATAAGGCTGCCTAGCTTCATTTGAAGGACATATCTAAAAAACCAGTGATACTTGCATTGAAATGTTGAGCCTGTTACCACTGGAATAAATTATTGCACTCTGTCTCAGGAATCATCATGATAAATGGCCCATGAAGATAATAATTCTGTCTCTGCATGATTTTGCATATTCCTTAATGATCTTTGGGGGATAAAATTCATCCAGTAGTCTGATTATACTGCAAGAAAATGAAGATGAAAGTCACTCAGGTGTTAGTTTACAGTCAGATTAAGTATTTTAGATAAACAGAGGTCTTACTTTTGCTGCGAAAGTGTCCATGTTTTCCTGCAGGTAATGAACAGCCTCATAGATCCAAGCAGGAAT